GCCATGTAGGACTCGTGTGTTTACTTGTTCTACTTTATACAAGTTAAAGTGCCTATTTGTGCACTATGAAAGTTGGAGGTCAAAGTTAAAATTTGAAGCCAAGTTTAGGATCCAATATATGTATTATCCCTTATTAATAAGTTGTGACTTTTCTAAAGAATTGCGACTTTTTCAAAGGGTTGTGACTTCTACGAAAAGTCATGACTTTTCAGATAAGACACAAAAAAACATTTGTTCATATTACCCTTTTTTGACTTTAAATAGAGGGGTTTCCTCTCAATTTTCCACCACAATTTCTTTTAATCTTCTACTCTTCTTCTTCTTGCACTTTAAAATTTTGTCTGTGATTTATTGTCGTTGAGTGAGTTCGAAGTTTTGTGGAATATGAGGTACCACTATTCTGATGAAGTAAGTCGATCTAGCCTAAGAGGGTATATTTCATAACCTCAAGTACTTGATCAGGAAAATAATTTTGATGATATAATAATTATTTTTTCGCTTAATATATACATTAGTATGTAATGTTCCAATATACAAAGTTAACATGATATAGTCTAAATTCATTTGTTTTTGTTAACAATTTCTCTTGTGATGTAGATATATGCTTATGAATATCTTTTTCCAAAATTTAGAGAATTCTCACGATTTATTTTTGATGCTCAAGAGTCAAGACAAAATAATGACTTTATTTATCAATGTTACTTGTGTGATTTAGACTCTCAAGAAGTTTGCTTCAAAATAGTTATTACAATATAAACATTGCCCTTTTGTTTACTTATTTACTATTTCTTAATATTTCAGTATTTTGGACGAAGAAAAGTTCATATGACTTGTAATAACGCCAATTGAAGTTTGTATTAGTTTAATTTTTATTATTTATTTAATAGCTAATTTTATGAGATAAATATTTTCATTAATGCAAATATATATTTTTATTTGGGTAGGTAGTTGTATTTAAATTAAAGTATTATATATGCCACAAATGTATTATCAAGTTAACAAGATCTTTTAACTTCAAAATATATTATTTTAAAATGTTCCGGGTTCTTTTCTTTTTTAAAAAGGGTAAGAAGTGAAAAAGCTGTGTAAGAAGGAAATAGGAGAAGACTGGCACAAAATTGCACACATTCCTAATGTGGAAATATATTCCTAAGTATTATTTGTAATTGTTTCTTTGTTTGTGAGTCTTTTTGGTTCCTGCCATTGTGATTGTATGTAATTTTTTTCTACGGTTGTTTCTTTGTGAGTCTCTCTCTCATTGGATGTTATTTTCTTTTGGAAACAAATCAACAATCTATTTGTATTATACGCTTTGAGAATCTATTACTTATTTGTAATTGTTTCTTTGTTTGTAAATTGTGAGTATCTTATTGTATGTAATTTTCTGATTTTATTTTGAAAACAAATCAATGATTTGTAAGATCCATCTGTATTATATTCCCTCCGTCTCATTTTATGCGACACTTTTTAGATTTCGAGATTCAAACAAGTCTATTTTTTACCGTAAATTTTTCATAGATCTTTTAAACATTTTGAATTATCAATTATTGTGACTTTAGTACTTTTACGTAGTTTACAAATATATAAAATTTATTTTAAAAAATTGAAGATTCCATGCGCAAATTCCCGGTCAAACTTAAATTATTTAACTCTCGAAAAATAAAAAGTGTCACATAAATTGAGACGTACTTGTTAATGTTGTAATTTATTGGCGAACAATAATGTTGTTGATTATCACTTTCTGAATAAATGTTGTGTCACGTGGAAAAAACACCAAATAGAACTATTCATGTTTTTTTTAGTATATATAAACATGACATTTAACTTGATTTTCGTGGACAGACATGATTTTAACTCTGAATGCGCATAAATAGACACTTAAACTTGTATAAAATTGAACAAATTTTATAAAATCATACAATATGACACTGAAAGTAATTGATACCGATTACAGTCGTTGTTGCTTTTCGATTCTCTGTCATTCTCCAGGTAATTGATTTTATTTGATTCTCCCTCTCTTTTTGGTTCTGGTTGATTGACATGCTTGCTAATTGGGTGTCTGTTGTAATATTGCATATCCAAACAAATATTGTGTTATGAAGTTAAATATACGTTTACTTTTGAGTGTTGTTTCATGTTTTTAATATAAATTATTAAAATTTAGGTGAAATTTACTTTCTAGTTAAATTGGTCAAAGTTGAAAGATTTTCAAGTGAAAAAGCTTTTAATAATTTGACTTTTATGCTATATAATTTAAAGTTGAACGGCTTTTTAATAAAAAAATATATGATAATTTTTATAATACAATGGCTTTTATCTATCTATAGATAGGTATATTACCTTAAAAACATGAACTCCTAACTTGAATGTTAAATTATTATAATATTCCTAACTTAGGTTGTGATTTTTCCGATGAGTTGTGACTTTTTTCAAAAGGGTTAAGTCCTTTTTCGATGAGTTGTGACTTTTTCAAAGGATTGTGATTTTTCAATGTGTTGTGACTTTTCCAAGGAGTTGTGTCTTTTTTAAAGAGTTGTGACTTTTTCAATAAGTTGTGACTTTTTCAAAGGGTCGTGACTTCTCAAAAAAGTCATGACTTTTCAAATAAGACACAAAAAATATTTGTTTATATTACCCTTTGTTGACTTTAAATAGAGGGGCTTCCTCTCAATTTTCCACCACAATTTTTTTAAATCTTCTACTCTTCTTCTTCTTTTTGCACTTTAAAAAAAATTCTGTGATTTATTGTCGTTGAGTGAGTTCGAAGTTTAGCGGAATATGAGGTACCACTATTCTGATGAAGTAAGTCGATCTATCCTAAGAGGGTATATTTCATGACCTCAAGTACCTGATCAGGAAAATATTTTTGATGATATAATAATTATTGTTTCGCTTAATATATATATTAGTATGTAATGTTCCAATATACGAAGTTAACATGATATAGTCTAAATTCATTTGTTTTTGTTAACAATTTCTCTTGTGATGTAGATATATGCTTCTGAATATCTTTTTCCAAAATTTAGAGAATTCTCACGATTTGTTTTTTGATGCTCAAGAGTCAAGACAAAAGAATGACTTTATTTATCAATGTTACTTATGTGATTTAGACTCTCAAGAAATTTGCTTCAAAATAGTTATTACAATATAAACATTGCCCTTTTGTTTTACTTATTTACTATTTCTTAATATTTCAGTATTTTGGACGAAGAAAAGTTTATATGACTTGTAATAACGCCAGTTGAAGTTTGTATTAGTTTAATTTTTAGTATTTATTTAATAGCTAATTTTATGAGATAAATATTTTCATTAATGCAAATATATATTTATATTTGGGTAGGTAGTTGTATTTAAATTAAAGTATTATATATGTCACAAATATATTATCAAGTTAACAAGATCTTTTAACTTCAAAATATATTATTTTAAAATATTCCGGGTTCTTTTCTTTTTTTTAAAAAAAACTCACAACAAATGTGAAAATATGTGAATATATAAAATGCAGTTGTTCTCTTCACATGTTCATATGACATCTAAACAATTTGACATGGAGTACACATGCAAAGCACATCTGGGTAGATGACAAGAAAAATACAAAACAAATAATGTTTATAAGGTAATATTAGTGAGATAAGACTAACTACATGATTGAACATCATCAATTGAAATAAATATATACATCTTCATATTGTTGTCATCCATATTGAACATTCACAAAAGAATCTGCAATATTATTTTTTGCTAAGCTTATTATTCAAATCTTCACTTAAATAAGCAACTATTTACTCTAACATATATTTTTGGAATTGGTAATCGTGCAATGCACGTGTCAAAAAAACTAGTATGATGAAAAAAGAGAGAAATTAGATGACAACAATATCCAAAAATAATCTTAAAGAATTATGATTTATATATAATAAAATTAATTTTAAAATTTGATGAAAATATAGAGAGAAGAAGAAGATGATGAAGTGAAATGATGTGGTGGTGGGTCCATGGGGACATAATAAAAAACAATTCTCTTAAATAATCCTTTCATAACTAATGATAAAAAAAAATTATTTTATTTTACAAATTGCAGATAGAGAAAGAGGAAATGGGGCGGTAATTACAATGTAGGGAATCGAAACTTATCAACAAGTTGGGAGTTCAAGTAATCAACCAATTGCGCTACTAAGAGCCCTCTAACTAATGATAATTGTGATTCATTTAGCATAAAAAGTTTCGTTGCACTTACTTTTAAAGTTTTGAAAACACTACTTTCTCTATTCTATATTAATTAAATCTGTGAGGCAATGCAGATTAATTAAGAAACACATTTAAAGACATAATTTAAATTATACTTTTTCACTATTATTTTTTGTGAAATCATAAATATAACTTTATAAATAGTGTAATTTATCTCCTAGAAGCAAATTTCACTAAAGAAAAGGGCAAATATATATAAAAAAAACTAAATGTTCATTTTGAATTTTGTACGAACCATGAAAAAAATCCGTAGAGGCAAAAGGTTAAATCATTTTAGCCGCCAATGACTTGTTTCAGCTTTAATTAATTAGGAAAGAGGAAACTGCCAATGAGGGGAGTAGTTGTTGCCGACGAAAAAAGATAATACTTGCTCGGTTCTATTTTTATTTTTATTTGTCATTTTTAATCTATGACAATTATTTTTTTTATATTTTATCCTTAGTATTAAATAATTTAATAGGGATAGTTTAGTAAAATATTTATATTAATAATTATTTTCTTAATGAATTTGTCAAATCAAATAATGACAAATAAAAATGAACGGAGAAAATAGAAAACAAAACAAAAGAACAAGTTGACAACTTGAGAGATTAAAAAAAGGACCAAAACGCCTTGGATTTTGAGATTCCATATGTGAAATTTCCATGAAATAATTGAAATTATATTATTACAAGTCAAGCTTTCTATTTCATTCCAACTAGCCCATCTTGGCTTCAAAATTACACATTCATTCATAGTCACAGATCTAATATTCTTAATAGTGATTTCCACATATGGCTGAAGCTTTCATTCAAGTTCTGCTAGACAATCTCACTTCTGTCCTCAAAGGAGAACTTGTATTGCTTTTCGGTTTTCAAGATGAGTTCCAAAGGCTTTCAAGCATCTTCTCTACAATCCAAGCTGTCCTTGAAGATGCTCAGGAGAAGCAACTCAACGACAAGCCACTAGAAAATTGGTTGCAAAAACTCAATGCTGCTACATATGAAGTCGATGACATCTTGGATGAATATAAAACTGAGGCCACAAGATTCTTGCAGTCTGAATATGGCCGTTATCATCCAAAGGCAATCCCTTTCCGTCACAAGGTTGGGAAAAGGATGGACCAAGTGATGAAAAAACTGAATGCAATTGCTGAGGAAAGAAAGAATTTCCATTTGCAAGAAAAGATTATAGAGAGACAAGCTGCTACACGGGAAACAGGTACTCATCTTAAATTAGTAGTATTACAACTTAGTTTATATTCATTCATTTGTTTTGGGCAATGATCAAATTATGTAAAGGTCAAATATACTCATGTACTATTGGAAATAGTTTAAATATACCTCTAGTTATACTTTCAGTGCAAACATACTCCTCCCATATAGAAGACTACATCCGTTTTGCTTTTCTTAACGAAGCAGCTCAGAGAAAAGAGGTTTTCTTCTGTTCTGTTTCTCTATGGGCTGCATTGGGGTCTTAATCCAATAAGAAACAATAAACATAACAGGCATATTTAACAAATTAATATTACGTTCTCGATGACGGTGGTCTTTCTAGACATGAACTGAGTGTAAATTTTGGTAAATTTTGTCTCAAGGAAGAAAAAGAAATGATTAGGCTGGATTTCTTTCAGAGTGGAATATAGGGGGATAAAGTTGGAGCATAGAGTTCCATCGTTTATTTCTTACATAAAAGTAACAAGTTCAACAAAATGATATCAAGGTACTTTAATGGAAAATTATCAGACACGTCTAAACTACAAAAATGGAATAGAAACTTAAATCATCCTCTAACAAAGCTACCAAATTTAAATCATGATACAGAGAAGCAACCAAAAACATTATGGGTGAATTATTTGATTTGATGCTTGTCACATGTCTTCCCGTCAAGATTAAAGGAAAAATTGCGCCGAAGTATAAAGGGTGCAGTATATTTGGACTAATAGTATAACGACAAGTATATTTGATCATTTTATGTATCAAATTCATGTGGTTTTTGGGGAGAAGGGAAGTTTCAAAGTTTTCAACCTGCTCCTCATCTCATCCATATCTCTTTATTGTGCAAAACCCTTTTCTATTTAACTATTTTCTGCCGACTCCTAATGAGCTTGAATGTAACAATATTCTCATCTGGACATTGCTTGCACCAGGTTCTGTGTTAAC